AGGTATACACTTATTAGATTTACGCTTTAAATATAACAAACACTTGACAAAAGTGAGTGAGAAAGCGTTACCGAACGGAGCATTACCAAACAGTTCCGAAAAAGGCTCTTGTTAGATATACGTTATTCTGTTTGCAGCGCTCGTGTGGCATGGTAGACAGTTGCCGTCAAGAACACTGGACCCAGGACCTGGTTGTGGGGCACTTGATCCGTGTGTACCTAGTTTGGGCAGCAGAAAGTTTTTTTACTTCTACTATTAGGAAACAGTTGAGGTTAGAAGAAGCAACCTAGCATGCTGGTTAACGTTCATGGCACTAAGATGTGCTCAGTGTAAGACTATAGGGGTTGCTCTGATGTCAAATTCTGACGTTGCCGTTGAATTGATATAAAGCTAGACGGTTATTGACTTGAAAACTCTCGACCTGATGCTGAGGAATATACATAAGTAACGAGGTTGGACCTTGCGTATTCTAGGGTTTCTGCCTGCTGTCTAATAGTCATGGAACTATGAGAATCAAGGGCAAAGGACCAATTATTAACGGATAAAGATTGATAACTAGCCCTGAACTCCTAATCATCACTTGGTAGATGGAGGATGAAAGAGTCAGACAAAATAAAGATGAGGGCTTGTATCCACTGAAATACAAATGCTTAGCGACGGTTCTGGTAGTATGTCTGATTTCACAGTTCCACAGGTTTACTACTCAAAATAAATGAATAAAAAAATTAACTACAGAGAGACACGCAGATCGACTCTGATGCGCAGTGGTGATGGTAGGCAGGCAAGCAGATTTACAGCCTTGTGCCGCTTTGGCGCCTCGAAAAAAGTAGGATAAGCCTCGATCGGAAGATCATAAGGAGAGCTGCTTTTTACTCTTTCCTCCTCTCCCTCTCTGCGTCTCTTTCAGCTCTAACTGCCTTTTTTGCTCTCTCTCTCTCTCTTTCTTTTTTTTTTTTTGCTGCCACTGTAAGGTGCATACAAATATGTGCACGGGTATATAGCACGAGCTCAAAGACGATTGCGCAGCAGCTCGTCGCGAGCTTTTTTGTCGCGAAGCAAAAATTGACGCGTATGCGAGTGTAGTCGGCTTAATTATCATCGATGCGCAGTCGACCAACTACGCCATATACTCAGATACTGACCAAGCATATACACGCGTGTGTCGATGAAACGTCGCATTTGCACGATAAATCAAACATATAATAAGAATCGAAGCGATCAATCGTTTCAGCTTTAGCTGCTACACTTATACATGTGCATATTTGAACGAGTGCCAATATAGTTGGCATGGCCACAGCTCATATATATGCAATGCGAAACTACACGAGGAATGCGCGTAAAACTACACATACGAAGGCAAACGCGATGTATGCTTGTGCTGCAGTGGATTCAATAGCGAACTCGTGCTTACATGCAATTGCGCTCCGAAATGTTTAGTCGTGTACGCGTTCATCATCAATTGCTCTTGCGGTATTACGTGCCATATGACGCGCATCTAAAAAATAGAAAGAGAGACGTTTTTGCCTCGTGCTAAAGCAGCTTTTCTAGCGAGAGCCACGGGTGCCCTGGGCTATAGGTGTGCGCGATTTTCGATCACAGCTCAACTTTTAATATAACGAAGCTATAACAGCGCGACACGGCGAGCACTTTATGTACAGTATTATTATTTTTTTTTTTTTTTTTTTTAAGTCTCGGTTGGAAAAAAAGTCTCTCACGATCTGCTGACGCTGCTATATACTATTATATACAATATATATGTATAGGACTCGCGTCCACTGTTTCTCTCTCGAGTGCAATGAATGAAACGACGGCGACGAATTGCTCCGAGCAATGGTGTAAAAGCATAATCATCGTCGAAATCGAGGATTGCGCTTATGTATAAGAGTGTATAGTGTATAGGGCCTGCGGAGAGCTATGGCCGAGTTGAAAGAGTGAAAAGAAACGAAGGCAATAGAGCGCGCAACGGGGTGCTATACGCCGCTCTCTCTCGCTCGCTCGCTCTCTTCTTGTGCGCGTGTGTATTGAATGAATAAATCGCCTAGTCCGTGTGCCTGCGCAAGCAATGATGCGAGCACTACACACATACATACGTATAGGTGCAGAGGGGATGTTGTAAGTCCGCAAACCTATACATACGTACGTACGTGTGTATGTGTGTGCACAGCACAAACAGGGAGGGAGAAATCTCTAAACGAGCTTTGCTCTATGAATGTATGTGTGCGTCTCTCCCTATATATGTGTGTCGGTCGTCCGTGTGCACGTGTGTGAGCGCGATGGGCTCCGATCGATCCCGTACAGTACGTGTGCGCCTATATATATAACGCGAGGCGCCCTCCTGCCGACGACGACAATGATAATCGCTCCAACTGCAGAGAACTAGCGAGCGAGAGCGAGAAAGACGGGCAGACACCACCAGCGGCTGTGTGCGTGATAAGGGCCTTTCTCGCCGCCTCGTGCACAGTTCACCTCTCGCGGCTCTCGGCTCTCTCTCTCTCTCTCTCTCTGTCTCACTCTCTAGGGGTGATTTGGATCTTGACGCGCGATATTACGTTTGCCGATTCTCTCGCGGAGAAGACTCAAAGCCCAGGCATTATTCAGCCACTTCGAAGGCTATACAAGGTATAAACGACAGAACGAAACTTGACGACTTGAAAAAAAAAACGGTAAAAAAGTATAAAAAAGAAGACGATTATGTATATGTACGTGCGAATAAAACTTTCGCTTCGGCTTCGAAAACTCGTCTATATTGCATGCGGCGAGCGCGACGACTCATTATATGCGTACATTTGCGCGACTTTCCCCATTTTTTTCTTCGGTGTTTACGCTAAATTTCAGGTTTTCTTTCGAGCGACTGCCGACGTCGTTTTCGTCGGTTGGTTACCTCGTCCAATGACTAAATAACCCGGTTCCGTGAGTTTCGGCTCGCTATATACTCAGTCTGCACTTTCGTTCCGAAGCGTGAGCGAGCGAGGTGCTGATATTTTGTGCACGAAAACATTTAATACGTGTGCGAAAGCTGCTACTTTGTAATAGCGAGGTAGAAAACGTGTCTCTGCCTCGACCTCCAACTCGAGCTCATCGTAAACCGATAGGTTCGATCGTCGGCTCACGTATAAGAACCTAACGAGCTATGCTTCTAAACATGCCCACACACACACATTCAGATCTCGTGGGCTTTAGGCTTTTTTCCATTTACTAATCAATCTTTCGCGTCTCATCTCTATATATTCTCAAACTTCGATCTTGTGCAACGGCTCTCGGCACACAACAGGGAAAAGAGAGAGAACGAAAAAAAAAAGAAAGGCAACCGCGTAACTACACCATAGTACCACATCCGCCGATATTCTCTCTATACGTAAAGCATCTTTTTTGTTACACACCGATACATTAATATATATGTGCGTATATCCATCGCGTATATTCACGTAATAGAAACTGCGATTGTGGTGGTGTATAATGCGCGCATCGTGTATACGCGAGTGAGCACCCGATATTCTATAGATGCTATATGTATGTACGAGCAATCAGGGTGTGCGGTTGTATTTGTGTAACGCGCCTCGCTCTGGAACAAAAAAATAAAAAATAATAAGGAAAAAACCATTGGGAGTATTTCGTGCGGGTCACGTATCGCTACTGCTGGTTATAGGATATAGCTATATACAACATCCCATTGGACAACCATATGCAGCCGTAGAACGATCGATCGCCTCGCGCGCATATATATATGGGTGTGCGTATAAACAAGGACAAAAAACGAGCTGCAGTAGAAAAGGGTGAATGTAGGGTAACTGGCCCAGTGGTTGACCGGCACCCAGTAAATGACCGTTTTTTAAAAAAATAGTAATAGTAACGGACGGACGCCCCCACGTTTGCATTTTAATGATATTTTCTATTTCGACTGCAGGTGTCCTTTTTTCAATCTCTTATTCTCAAATTATAATATTGAGCGTGGCTGTAAATAATTTTTCGAAGCCAATAAAACTACTATTTTATTCAATTCTGAATTATAATCTCACTCTAGCCGAGATGACCATTCAGAGGATAGTATAAAATAGCCCACATACCGAGCCAACATTTTTTTATAAAAAAAAAAAAGTAATATTATAAAAAATGAATAAAATAACGAGATAGTATAACATAAAAATAATAATATAAAATAATAAAAATAGAGAGTATGAGAATATATAGAATACGTTATACCAAACAATTAGAAATGCATTTGTATGGGCGTTACTCAATTCTTTAGCGAACCGTGCATCTAATTATTTTTTATGTCCATTAATATAATAACAAGGAAAAAGTGTAATTACTGCATATTTAAAAGTGGTCATGTACTAGTTGGAAGCGGTCAATCACTGTGTAAAGTACCCCATATAATGCAGAATGTATGCAGGACACAATGTGTCTGGCATTGAGAGCGTTCCTATTTAATAATACTCGGGAGAGACTTGCGCTTTTACTCGTATGAAGCATAGACCTTTTATCGAAGAATGAAAGGAAAATTTGAGTTTGGTGTATCACGTCACTGTGTGTGATATTCTTCTAAACTTTGCGGCTCTAAGATACAACTGATAAATAGTGTTGCATTTTGTCCATAAATAAGACAATAATATCTTTCAGCTATGCTGAACTGCGTACTAAAAGTTCCAGATTATTATAAAAAAGGTGGCGCTCATATTTGCGTGCTTTGTTCCGGGCACGTCTGTTTTTTTTCTCTATATACAATAATTACTATCTTTTAAGAACGGAAAAGTGTCAGGTATTGTACTGATTCGAGATAATTATTAGAGATCGAGATATAACGTTGTCTTGCCTCGCCTTTTTAAGTACAAAAACGAAGCAAGATGTTTTTTTGTAGTGTGATTAACGTGAGCTTGATAAGAAATGTTCATAAATTGAAAAAATGTACTTGTTTTAAAATTAGTTTAGTTTATTGATAAATTCATCAACTAAAATATTTTTTGAAACAATAATATAATAAAATTGAATAAAAACTGACAGATATGAAAAAGTATCAATACTTAGTTTACAAAAATATTACAATATGAATAATACATTTCATTGCATCTCTTTTACATAATAATTTGTGGTTCTATCACAGAATCCGTTATACTTTTGTGAGGCAATACCTGACCTCCGTTAATGTAAAGTTCATCTTTTACAATAACATCTTCACCTAGTACAGTAGTATTTTCCATTCTCACCCAACGACCAACAATGCTCTTCCAGCCAATGATGCATTTATCTAGCCAAGAGTGCTCCTTGATGACTGCATTTTTCAAAATAGTAGTCCTCTTTATGCAGCATCCATCATGAATCACTACGCCAGGTCCTATGGTGACATTTGGTCCAATTCTGCAGTTGTTTCCAATCTTTGCCGTTGGATCGATCAAAACATTGCCTTCCACATTGACATGAGAAGATAATTTTTCTGGTTTTTTCAGTCTTAAATTGTTTAAATACATGCACATGCCCGTAAGAAAGTCTTTTGGTTGTCCAACATCCATCCAATAGCCTTGCAATTCCATTGCGTAAAGCTCACCTTCTTTGGCCATGTGTGGAAAAATTTCTTTTTCAATACTCATTGGACGAAGTTCGATTCGCTTTAATACACTAGTGTTTAAAATATATATGCCAGCATTTATTTTATTAGATACAAATTCAATAGGTTTTTCAATAAACTCTTTGATTTCACCATTTTCCTTATAACTAACAACGCCATACTTGGAAGGTTCTTCTACTTTGGTAACAACAATCGTGCCTTCCTTGCCATGATTTTTGTGAAACTCCAAGAGCTCTTTGAATGGATAATCACAAATGATGTCAGAATTCAGCACAAAAAAGGGCTGATCGCTGGTACTGACAAGAATATCTTTTGCAAGCGCCAATGGCCCGGCAGTCCCCAGGGGTGTACTTTCGTGCGAGAATATCAGCTCGACTCCCAGCTTGTCAGCTTTTTCCTTGAGCTCTTGCTCCATCGTCTCGGCCCTGTAAGAAACAGCTAGTATGACCTGTCTGACGTTGATCTTGACGAGGGCCTCGATCTGATGAAACAGCATGGGTTTGTTGGCGAATTCGACGAGCGGCTTGGGCCGGCTAAGGGTCAGCGGCCTCAGCCGGGTACCGTAGCCCCCGACGAGGATCAGGGCTCTCATGCCGTTGTTGCTTCGCTGCTGCATAACGTCGTCGCTGACGTGGATATCCTCGCCCGAGATGCTTTGTTGGTTAGCGATCGGCCGGGCCTTTGTTTCCTTCTGCCAATTGCACTTCTCGCTCGGATGTTCGCTTGACTGCTCGAGCACCATTATTATTGTTCTCTGTTATTGCAATAAACACATGTACACGTCACTCGATAAACTACCTCGCACCTCATTCAATTAGATCGCAGCAGGTTAATACACGTAACATACACTTTTTTTATGTATTGTCAGCGATAACGTGCTTGCTACATATAAAAATGCCGTGCTGTGCGGCTCGCGTTGTTACATACACGAACGCGATTATTTGAGACGTCTGCTTGACGCTTTGGCGCTTTCTTCAATCCTATTCGGCGTTTGCCGCGGCGTACTGCGACCGTCATAGCGGTGTGATTTGCGATGCGAGTATTTGCGCGCAAAACTTGCGCGCGAATTCAAATCGAGTATGTTTTGCAATTGACTCCTACAGTGCGTGTATGTAGTATATGCTGGTATAGAACTGCAATGAATATCTGCATTTGCCACGTGTCTCTCGCGGTGTGGCCTCTCTCGAAGTGATAAAACAGAATTTAATTCTGCAAACGTTAATATACTAGCACAAACGTTTGAATTCTAGCTGATAGCTGGGCAAACATAAATAACGAGTCGCACTTCTTAGATCTCGAATGAACTAAAACGGGTATAAAATATTCCGCACGCGGCTCCGAGTTTCGGTGATACAAACACGAAGGAAAATACGATTGCAGAGCAGCAATGAGAAATTACACATAGAACTCGTTGTGCTAATCGATTAGAAATGCAGATATGGAAGTTGAATCATTTCCTCTCTCTCTATTTCTCGACTCGCTTCGAAAAAGGCCATGCGACGACTAAGCGAGCGTTAGCCTTTTTTTTTCCTCGTTCGACTCATCTGGCAGCTGGGCACATTAAATGCACACGCGTATATAGATATACAGAGACAGGCTGGCATTAAACATCGTATCGATCGAAAATCGAGCGCAGTCCCGATGTCTCTCACTTATAATATACGTACATTTTAAAAGCTTATGTATGTACATTGGGTATATGGCGCATGTATAATGTATATTGCGAGGAACATGACGAATTATAGGCTCGTGTCAAGGCAGCCCGGAGATTTTTATTTTCTTCGTAAAAATTTACGAGTCTCACCTGTAACTACATACAATACACATACTTTGCCCATGGGAAACGCATGGCATATTGCCTATCCGAGGCGCCGAGGCATTTGTTCACTACAAACTAACTGGAAATGAAAAGAAAAAAAAAATAGTCAAAGACGGATATAACAGGTTATTGGTCTCCGGTATTCGGTTACTCTCTCTCCAAAGTCGAACTCGAACTTTCAAGTTATTATCAAGAGCGTCCGGGAGTATTTTTTGATGGAAGATGAGAAGGAGATTATTCGTTGATTCGTCGAGACTGCCCGCTAATATGCACGGCTGAAGCGTTCGTTTACTCGGCTCTCCGAGTCATCGGCGCGCTCGTTTGCTCCTAATCACCGTTTCCGGCTTATCGATCGTACGCTAGCATGTTATGTACATACACACACGTACAGATGTTTTGTAATTCAAAAAAGCACGAACAAAAGTGTATTTGGCAGCAGCCGCGCCTGGTGTGCTGTATATAAATGTTATATATATTCGCATTGACGAGCTACGTAGCCGGGCGCGTAAAAGCGACGACCGAACGTGCGTCAGCAGCTTTTGGAAACGAAAGCGCCAGGATGGCTGAATCAACGTGAAAATTGACGTGCATGTGTGCACACGGGCATGTGCGTTAACGTACCTACGTACGTGTGCATTTGCAATAGCGCACAATAGCGACGGCAAAAGTACACGTAGACGCGGCTGCATTATACGTATATTATTGTACATGCACGAGGTGGCCGAACGAGCAGACATTTTTCGGAGCTGCCGCGAAAGTATTTCGAGCTTCCTGTTAATTAGGCCGCATACGTATAAATAATGCGCTGCATGCACTATAGCTGAGCATGTATTTGCGAGAATAAGCAAATGAATTAAAAAAAAATACATCTCATCGAGCTGCTGCTCTCACACAGACAGACTCACATTGTCTCGAGGGGGGCATTGTCGTCATCATCGCCGTCGACGACGACGATCGGCTCGGGTACGCACGCGGCGTCAAGGAAACCGTTTTTCCGTTCCTCGAAACTTTTATTATCGAGCTCTGCCTGCTAATTGGGACACACACAGCGAGCGAATGCTAAAGACAGAGAGCGAGAGAGAGAGAGAGAGAGAGCCAAGAGTCCATCCGCTATGGTATCAAATCTCTCGCTCGGTCTTGCTCCCCATTTTTTTTTTTTTTTTTGTTACTTCGTTTTTTTTTCTTCGTTCTTTTTTTCAGTTTAAAGCTTCTTTCGTGCCCGGCGCCAATTAAAACGGCTAAAAAAAACACTTTGTTTGGCGTTTGGCTAGAGCTGCATCATGCAGCAGCAGTGCAGTGCAGCACGGGGCACTGTACGTTTTATGCAGTATGCAGTATACGAGGCGTGCCGCTGCCGCTGCTGCTGAAGCGATGCGGGGAGATAAAAAAAGCGAGCCTGTCATTTTAGAGCGAGGCGACGCCTTCAGATACTGCAGTCTGGGCCGCGCTCGTGTGCAGCTCGACTCGTGCGTGTGCATAGCAGTGGCGCAGCGCCTGATGACTTTTCGTATCAAAAGCACGGCCCGGCAACGCCGCCCTATGCGTATATAGGTATTTAGGTACATGTATACTTCAATATATCTTGCCCACGAGATATTGTAAAGCACGAGTCTGGGTGTGTGTGTGTGTGTGTGTGTGCGCTCGTTTTCCCGCGGGCACAGTCGCTCGCTGAAAAATCGACTGCTTCGTGATTCCGTTCCTTTTTTTTTCCTCTTTTTTCGCGGCATCGTTGTCGTTCTCTATACAGCCCCGCTCGGTAATAAATGAACGCTTTTTTCTTTTTCTTTTTTTTTTTTCGCAAAATAACCACGGGAAATGTGATTGCGTGCGAGCGAGCGAACGAGTAAGTGAGTGTATACGATGCTGCACGGCATAAAAGTAAAACTCACGCGCAGGTGACCGAACAGTTTTTTCTTTCTCTTTTTCCTCTACCTCTGCCTCTTTCGGTCACACTGGTTTCGTCATTGCTCGCCATCGCTGCCGACTCCAACTGCTACCAGCGCAAAAGTTTTTTGGCATACACGAGACCTTAACCCGCGTAGTAGTGCTAGCTCGGTATAATTTACACTCGACGTGGCCTTTAACGCGCGCCTGCACGTATATGCATACGTATGCTTTATTAATGCTTATGTACGCCTATACGCGCGGGCATGGCCTGGTCAGCGGCAACAACTTAAAAAGAAAACCATTTATCGCTTTTGGGGAGAAAAGGTAACGAATCGAAAATTTAACGAATATCCGTCGCGTGTTTTATGTTGCCGTAATAAAAGATAATTAATACGCGCCAGATCGCTGCCGCATTCGTCGCGCGTCCGCGGGCTCATTCACTAAACTCGCCCGAGCAAGTAAAGTAAGCATATACCCATGGGAAGCAAGAGACGAGGAAAACGATTCTCCGTAAAAATTTCGCTCTCGCATCACGCACCGGAGCAGCTCGATTCGAGCGGCGGACTCGGCGCAAGCTCGTCCTGTCTCTGTATTTAAACGACACACGAGGCATAAATACGTTTGATGGATATGAACTATCACGAGAACTATTAAATTTCGGCAGCCTTGGCAATTTGGCTGAGGCACCTCGGCCTCTTACATTCGTAATTAATTACGCTTCGTTTACCAAAGATATGCAGCGGCATCGGCAGCAACTTCGACAATTTCCTAAACTCAAGACTCTCCGAGTAATAATAAAGTAATTGCACAAGATCGAGTGTTTGGCGCGCGACAAATTGCGCGCGTGGAGAAGCACTGCATCATCGGCTCGTCGTCGTCGATGTCCCAGTTTTTTTTTTGCACCGAGCGAATTGCAGTGTCGAAGCTTGCGCGATATGCCCGTGCAGCGCATACCGACCTATAAGCACACACACTCGCACACACACACACACACAGACATTCATGTACGTAGTATAGCACAAAAGCTTTAGCTCCGCTGCTGCAAAGCCGAGAGCGACGCGACGAGGAAGAAAAACGATTCGGGCTCTTTTATGTAATATTCTTTTCTTCGCGCTCGTACGAGCTATTATTCTTCGTTCGACTGCTATGTTTCGCGTGGCTGCAGCTCATACATATATAGCGCATATATATTTATTCTTAAAAATGCCGTAGCCACCTCGTCGTCGTTATACTTTATACCTGTATGGAGCCGAGTATCGAACGCAGTCGTCGAAAATCTCGCGCGCTAACGTCGTCGAAGCTCTAGTCTCGGCGGGCACAAAAGCCTCTGCGTGACGCGTGCGTTTCTCAAACATTTAAACCAGCACCAAGCAGCTGAGCATATATAATATCATTAATACAGAAAAAATATATATTTTTTCTAGGCGAACGCCCACGGCCTATTCTCTAGCTTCGGAAAAATGAACGGAACGCCTGCAGAGATACAGATAGATAGATAGATGCTGCGGGGCCGGGGGGACCTCGAGCTGAAAAAAATCCGCCCGCGCGTCAATGTTGGCCTGCGTTATTTTTGCCCTTATATAGAGGTGTGTGTGTATTTTAAATGGCTCTGGAGTACGATGCTATCTAGCATCGAGGCACCAAAGAAAGACGCAGGGGCGATATAGCACGTTAGGGATGAATGACTGGCCAGGGATTTTTAGTCGTTATAACTTGATCTCGCGACGTGGGATATATGATGCTACATGTATGAGAGCTCGAGGAGGAAGGCCGACCCATTAAACTTTTGGATCGATGTCGTTCGGCGGCCAACCATTGCTCAAATTTGACTCCACCGTGAAAAAAAAGAGGAAAAAAACGGCCTCGTGTTCGTCGCTCGCTGTCGTGCGTACATCGTGCACGTATGCAATGGCCGTTGCTCAAAGTACAGGACAGATTATAAATCTGTGATAAAAGACGCTCGCGCGACATGAGACATCGCATGTGCGTCAAAGACGGAGCGAGTGCACAAACACACAGACTCGTGTACAAATCGCTCGATCTGCAGAAAAGTGACATGTTTGTACGTGCGTGTGCATAGTACAGAGCACACACAATAAAAGTATAAGAAACAAGAAAAAAAAGGCGGAGAAGGAAATATAAAATCGATGCGCTATAAATAAGCTCGGAGCGAACGTCGCGAGCTCGTGCACACATGTACACATGTCGCATGCACACTTGTGCAGTAACAGCGGTACGTCAAGCTCGGCCTACTTTTGATTCGATTCGAAAAAGGTCAAGATAAAGCTCCGAAAGGCATACCTACCATGAGGTGCTAGTGTACCTCTTATATTATATAGGCTCGACTGCGACCGAGTCGTACGCGCAAGAGGCAAGTTATAAAGGAAAAAGATTACCCTCGAGAATGAGAGGCGAGCGAGGTGAGTATAAAAGAGAAATTGACGCGAAAAGCAATTACGAGCGTGTGTATTGTACGCTACTTATGATATGCATCGAATTCAGAGCTCGAGCTGGCGCGACGATGTTATAAAAATACAATATAATAATTGTTGTTTTAGGTTTTGTACAATATAATAATTATTGTCGCGCGCGATGCTTCCCGTAATAATTCCACGGCAATCCTATACGAATACGCAGCAGCAGCAACGGCAAAAACGAGAGAGACCGAAAGTTAATTTTCACGATTATCGTGCAACTGTGTCAAGGCTGTCGGAAAATGAAGTTTGAATAAAAAAAGAATGAAAAAAAAGGAAGAAAATATTCATGCGAGCGTAAACGGATGGAACGTATTAGCTACAAGTAGATCTATGAATTACAGTATCCATTTATTTATTCATTTCCCTTCGCTTGAAAATTCCCATTTACGTTCTCCTGGACACTTTATAACCATATTGCAGGTTTCAAATGAATTCAATTTAATACGTTTATTTCGACGATTTTCCACTCGAAAAGGAAACACTTTAGAATTAAAATTGTAATTTAAAAAAGTCTAGAATGAAGAATAAAATAGGCCTTCACAACGTTTGGACAAATTTAACTAACATTTTTTCACAGTAATCCGGTGACATTTTATGAAACACATATAATCTGAGATAATAGGGTCGAATAAAAAAATCTACTTTCTAATTTCACCTCATATAAGTTCTTTTAAGTCTCCTAATGTCTCAAATCAATAATTATCGAAATCCGAAATATTATGAAAAATCAGTTGCATTGTTTTATTCGTTCACAACTTTTTTGTTATAAAATATTTGGGGATATTTTCTTCAAAAACCCGTCCTCACAATCTTTATGAAATACTATTGAACTTGATTTATTTTCATAATTTAGTTTTTTTGCTATAAAGATGAGATAAACGCAATCTTCCCTGTTACATAGAATTTCATATCACCGATGAGTGTACATTATGTAGACTGCACATCGCCATTACATCGTGCCACCTGAATTGACGTAGTCAAGCGAGGAGTCATGAAAAACTTTCGCCCGTTTAGAAGTATAATCATTCGCAGCTCGAGCCGGAGAGCTGCACTTGACGTATCGTAAGATATATATTAGTATTAGTATTAAAATGGGTAATTATACAGTTTGGGCAGCAGCATTTGAGATGCAGTTACACGATATAATGTACGAACGACAAAAAAAAATTATCACGTCCGAGGTGGGGAAATTATTATTTTCCCCGATCGGTCCGTCATGTGGGCGCGATTAGACTTTTTTCTTTCTTTTCTCGTCGGAAGCAGTAATCGTCGCAGTAAGGTGTATAAAATGAGAAAGTTCACGTGTGCTCGTTAAAGTCTATATCTATACAAGCATGAATAAAGAGAAAAAATAATGCAGCAATAGACACATCGCTTACTATACGTGAATTGACGTCTAATCAATTTTCAGCCTGGCTTTTATGGGAACTCCTTTTTATTGTTTTTGAGATATTATTCGCGAATGTGTATTTAATTGTCTTTACCTATTCGAGCAGACTACATGTAACTGTCTTACATTCGTAACGCATCCTGAAGTTTTATACATCGGCTTTGAATATCGAAGAACCGATGTTCCCTTTCATTATCTTCCGCACAAAGTGTAAGTGTGTGCGTCTGTCTGCATGTGTTAGTAAACGAGTCTTTCTTTCTACGAGCTCGATGAAAAACTTTCGGCATGAAATGTAATTATATACAGGCGCACACGTGCAGCACAGGCGGCGACTCCGGCCTGTAAGGCGGCAATCGTACACCGCAGTTGTCTGACTATGCGTGTGTGTGTATGCGATACATTCGTGTGCGTGCATATACAAGACGAGCGATGTGTAGCGAATTTCCTGCCGCCGCCACTGCTGCTTTTAAGACCAGAACGTAATGCATTTTGCCTGCTTAATTTCGTATACATCGGTGTGTAACGATACACTAGATCAGGAACGTTTGCTGCGTTAGTTTTTTTTTCCTTTACTTTTTTTGTTAGCCTCTGTATCTCACAGTTCCGAGAGATTCGGATAAACAATGCCAAGCCGTGCGACTCGATATGTATTATGCTTACATATTGATGCAAAGTCAAAAGAGAAAAAAGAGAAAAGGCATCGTCGAGGCTAGAACAACGGACACATGGGCTAAATTCACGACACATATTGCAAAACTTGTGCTGCTGGCTAAAAACTAGAGGCGTCAATTTCCTTATTTTTTTCTAAAAAAGGTAATTATTGTACACTTGGCAATTTCATCGAAAATTGCGTTCAGAAAAACTCGAGCCTCCGAGAAATTGTATTAGCATGTGCGTATGTGTTATTGGCGCAATAAGCAAGGGACACCAACCGCAAATCCTTCTATATAGTTAGTATAATCATCTATTTATTATGCATGAACCATAAAAGTTATATACTTGAGATTCAAAATATCCGTTCGAATGTATACGTTGATATGATCATTACGGTTTTCGCAATTACTGCATTCAATTTGTTTTATTGTTATAAGCAATGTTTTATTTACATACATGAGATGAGGTTCACGGAGTTCAGCCTAGACCACCTCGGAGCTCCGTTTTGTTCTCGGTGGCGGTTGCAAGTTTCAACGGTCGATGGCCGTTTTTTATCATTGTTCTTAGAAGGCACTCTTAACCCTTATGACTAACTTCAGTATACCCACGAGAAAAACAGCAACAACACGTATAAAATCACCAGATAACTACATTACTTTTAAGCAAAAAAACTGATAGTCATTCTTGCAATTCGCGCGCTTTTCATTTGTCCAGTTGGTTAAAGCTGCAGCGCATAACTCGAACTACGGCAGATCGCTTCGGTGTCCGTGGTTGGTATAGGCCAGCGACGCGGCTTACCGTCCGTTGCTGATTCGAAATCCGTGTTCGAACTTCGCGAATTTTCGTACTCCGTGAAACTTCCATCTTCTTCCACCCGCTATACGCGCAATATCGTAGCTGAGGTATATTACACATTACTGCATAAGTGTAAAGCAGACACGCCGCTTATACGTACTATAGAATTGCTCACACATAACTCGATTTCATACCTTATTGTGTCTTTAGTCGACAAACATTAGTCAATCGCACGTAAACTCCTATTTCGCTAGCAACCAATTTTCGTAAACATGCAGAGAGTACCTTCCTTTTTTTGCAGAAATATGGCTTACTTGAGGTAAGAATAATAATCGTTGCAGCTTCATTTATAGCTGTCCGAAAAAGAACAGAAACGCTATTTATGAAGTCGTCCCGGCATTTAGCCATTTTAGTTCTTATCTGGCGGCTCCGACTTATCTGGCATTGGCTCTGACAAAAACATGCCGATCTACTGTGCAAACATAGCATCACATTTAAATTAGCAGTTGAATTGATTTAACTTTTTTTTTAGACGAATGCACTAGTTATATAGTGCATAGACAGCCACAAATAAATTTGCTGTTGCAAGTCTTATGTAACATTTCCCACTAATTCTCTTTCAATCTATTGTCGATCAAGACTTGTTTATATTTATAAATCATTTGATATGACTCATACACTATTTTTGAATTTGTTGACTGATATTTGATTTTTTCTTACAGTCAAGTAAGAATGACCGGTGAGCGAGGATCTGGTGCTGGCAAAGGAGGTGGTGGTGGTGGTTCCATCCGTGAAGCTGGTGGATCATTTGGAAAAATGGAAGCTGCCCATGAAGATCAGTACTTTTACAATCAGGTAAACATTACGGTTTAAATTTTTTAATACATATCACATGATCGTCAAATTGAACCACTCTCATATATATATCCCATTATTTTTTACAGCAAAAAGAACAACTAGCAAAAATTAGAGAAGGCTTGCATGATGAGATCTCATTCCATGAAGAACAAATTCAACGCCATCAGGAAGCCATCAACCGTCACAAGAAAAGAATGTCTGAAATGGAAGGAAAGCAATAAATTCTAGAAGGATATATTTATTGTTTGGCAAAAATAATATTTGCAAGTAAATATAAACAAAGATTAAACTTGTTGAGTGTTGAGTATTGCTACGTGTGATTTTTTCTATTTAACATTTATTATTGTAAGTCAGCAGCTTGATAATGAATGGTTTTGATTTACTTTTACAATGTTCAGTCTATGTTGATATTAAAAATATGTGTAAGTTTAAAAATAAATAAAACTATGAAAACATTTCATGATTAATTTGTCCAAACTTTTTTTTTGAATTATTATATGAAAAGTTCAAAATAAATACCAACAAATCAATCTCTGCTAGAAAATCATAGCATACATTGTTCAACTACTGAATTACAGCAGACCGGCCCAAAAAAGTGATCCCACGGTCAACAATTGAAAAAATAAAAGTACAAAGTTTTGCGAAAGAGTAGGCCGCGTAACGAGCAGTTAAAATATCAGAAAAAATATGTCTGGAAATGATGAGAAGCTCAAAATTCTGCAAAAACCCTGCCAGTGTTCGGACTAGCGGTCGACCAATAATGCGGTAGATGCCGCTACTTGTGCGCCATAAAACAAGTCATTACGGGGCATTACAGGAAACGCGGCTCGGCACACTTACACACATAGTACACTGCAGTCCAAAGCTGCAGTAGCGTAGCGTAGTATATGCCTTCATATATAGCGTATACGCGCCTACGCAAGCAAAGTAAACGTAGCCTCAAATGTCGCTTGATAAATAAGTGTCAAATAAAAACTGTACTCGATTGCCATTTTACTACGTGAATCCTAGCGATTGTGATAGTGCAATGGATTAGAAACTCAAGAAACTCAGTTGTGAAATATGAATTCAAAAATAATTCTATAGCCCCGATCGTATGGACGCTTATTCATGTGATTGATACCTTGAACGTTTAAAAAGGTAAACAAAATAAACAAAGGCATCGACATTGTTGATTATCCGTTATCTCTATTCATTTCAGAACATTATAGTCATGAACGAAACAACCTCTGGTGAGGTGTCAATGGAAGTGAGCACTGGGGGTGGTAAACAAAAATTTCTTATTCATGCTAACGATCATAGCGAAAAGAACTTGGGTGCAATGAAGAATGAAGATATTAACAGTGAAGATTTTCCATCTCATTTTGAAGCTTTGGAAGAGACAAATAATATAGATCAGAACCTTGTTTCAATATGCAATGTAAAAGCTACTACCTCTTCTCCTGAACTTATTATTGGAGACAAACAAGTCATTATTTGGGACGAACTTTGCAGAGTTTGTGCAACATCAAACGAAAAACTTGTATCAGTATTTGGTACTGAAGGAACACAGTATGAGTTAGAAACAAAAATTCAAGAATATCTACCACAGATAAGGGTAATTCTAACTTGATTTGTGATGTAATTAAAATAAAATTAACTAATTATTTTTTTTTTTTAGCTTTCTCAGGATGATTTTCTTCCCATGAAAGTATGTTACCATTGTATTTCAATTTTAGTAGGATGGCATGATATATATACAAAATGCGATCAAGCACAAGAAAGACTATTGGAATTGCATCAACAATTGCATCCAAAGGATCAGGTATTTAAACTCTAATTAATCAGAAAATTAATTCTAAATTTGGATATACATGTAAAATAATATATATTTTGATTTTTACAAAGCCTCTTCATTTATCAACATCTGAAGAAATAAGTTTAAGCAATGAAGAGAACCACAGTATTGACATGAAAGAAGAAGTAAATTTTATAAAAAAAAATTAAATTCAAGAAAATAACAAGTAACATCTTTAATTGTTTTATTTTTATTTTTTAGATTCAACATTATGATCCAAACTTACTCGCAGTTTCATCAGATAACAATGTGAATATTCCTGAAAATAAAAGGTATTGATTTTTATTTCCATATATAGATAAAAAAAACCACCAAATTGGATGTAAAATTGAAAAGCTTATAAATGTGTACGCTACATGTAAAATGATTCAGTTTTCAGCAGAAAAGGTAAGCATAGCGTAGTGAGGGTCACCTGCATAATATTAATTGTATAAAGACTAGCATAGGCAAAGCCCCTAATTCGCTCTGCTTACGTTTACTGACTCGTTTTACGTATAGTTGAAAATTTTATTAATTAAGAATTTTATAAGTTTATAAGCACTTCATAAGTTTCTATCTAATTTACATCCAAATTTATTTGCAACTTAGTCAATAAATGTTTGTGAAAGATATTATTTTATTCATTTTTAAATCATAATTACAAGTAATCATGCTAAAACCTGGTATGTATACAGTGGCATGAAAGTAGCTAACATTTTTATCAGAGAATAAATAACTGAATTGTACAAATTAATCAAAATTTTCGATCAGAAATGGTTTTGTACACTAATCATTTATATCTGATTCTGCTGTTCGCAAAAGTTTGATCGTCATGTGCATTTAAGACACGCCTGTCTCGAGTCAATCTGCAACTATTTTCAGGTCCAGAATAGGCAAGGCAACTTCTCCCAAAGTTCCTGAAATAGAATCAACTAGTGTAAATGAAGATGAATATACTGCTAATTTTTATGACATGGATAGCGATTGTGCTAATTTAGCTGAATTTTCACCTGTGAATGAGCTCAATAATACAATTGAGACTTCAGATAATGATTACAACAAAAACAGCAAAATGCAGTCCTCAGATTCGCCATCTGTGGAAAAGAAAAATATAAGATCGAGTTCTCCATGCACACCAAAACCGAAAAATTCGTACTCTTGTTCTTATTGCAAACGCGAATACAAGACTCGGGGATTTCTTTTAAAACACGAACGAACACATACAGGTGAAAAACCTTATACCTGTCACGTATGTGGCAAACAATTTCGCCTGTCCAGTGATGTATTTCGTCACGTTAAAGGCGTTCACGAGCGCATAAAAAACTACGCTTGCGATTGGTGTGGAATATGTTTTTCATCCAAAGCGACTCGCGATGATCATCATAGACGTCACACAGGCGAACGTCCGTTTTCTTGTGAAATTTGCGGAAAATCTTTCAAGACAAAAGCAGCTCGTTACATACACAAAAATCAACATTCTGATAATTTTCCATTTGAGTGTGTGTATTGTAAAAAAAGCTTCAGGAGAAAATCCGAGCTAAATAACCACTTGACAGTGCATACAGGTGAAAAGAATTACGAATGTGCAACATGCCAAAGACGGTTTGGAATCAAAGGTGACCTTACCAAGCACTTACACGTACATTTGGAAGAAAAACCTTTTGCTTGTAACTTATGCGGACGTCAGTTCAGAGAAAACAAATATTTAAACAGACACTTGAAGATGAAGCATTCAACAGCACCAACATTAATATCCCCATAGAGTCATATGCATCTCAAGTTTTCTTGCATAATCCAAATATTAGCTCCTAAGTGACTAAGTCACCACACATGAGTTGCCTATGCCTCTAGTGCAATATTCTTTTCATATGTTGCATTAGAATCTGAAATGTTTTTTTACATTATAGAGGAAAAAAAATCTCAAAATATGCAATTTGGGTAAACAAAGTCAATTCTTAATACCAATCGGTCATAAAATATAAGAAAAAAAGAAGAGCTACACAATGATTGTAACAATTCTGAAAATTTTGATAATTATTATAAATTATTTGAAGTGTTTTCTATGAAACATTTTGCCACTGTAGTATCAGTTATAAAGATTTAGAGAGAATTTTATAAAATGTACAGATTTTATCCATTTGAAATGGATAAACATTTTATATTATTTTCATATAAAGATTCACCGAGGGAAATTTTCATTCTTCACTAATGAATCATGTAATATAGATATCTTAAAAAGTTTTAATTTTGGTAGACAATAAAAAACTGCGAGACGACTATATAATTTGTAAAAGTCGTATACACATATAATTGTTTAATTTTGCATAGTTTATGATGAAAGTTGCGATTCAAAGTTACTATTGATCGTTTTTGAAATCAATATCAGAGATCTATTTTGTACTACCGTAAATGATAGAATTGTCATTGACGAACTGATCCGAAAAGTAATTTTTCTATGTCGTTTATTAGCAGTAATGAGGAGTGACAAGTATTGAAACGTGCATAAAGTATTTAGTTTAACAAAAAAATGTGCAGTCACACGTACAAAAACAAAGATCAACAAAGTGCAAACCTTTACACATTGCAGAGCCAACGGGGTCGACGGCATCGAACATCCCGCAGTCTCGCCGAATGACTACTCCGAGGACTGCTCCTCGCCCGCTGTCCCGAGTAGTAACACTGGCGACGTCGCAACGACCCTGTACCAGTGCGGCGTCTGCGAGTTGCTGTTCGAGCAAGAGATCGAGCTCTTGAGACACCTCAAGGGCGCGCACAAGTCGCCCGCCAACTTGGAGTACCAGTGCACGCTGTGTCTGCGCAAGTTCTTGTCCAAGGTGCGCCTGGTCCGGCATCTGGCCAATCACAGGCACAACAACGACCTCGTGAATGCGGAGTCGATCGCCGCAGAGAGGCAGAGAATCCCCGAGAATTCGGGCCACCATTACAAGTGCGAGCTCTGCCAGAAGATCCTGAGCTCGCGCCTCAACATGATTCGGCACTTGCGAATGCACAAGGACGAGCGATTGTCGGTCTGTCACGTCTGCGGCAAGTCATTCCGCTCGGACGGCGACGTCAAGCGTCACATCAACGACGTGCACCTGAAGCTGAAACGCCACTCGTGCGGGTACTGCGACCGGGCATTCGCCGCCAAGGCCACCAAAGACGCCCATCAGAGAATACACACGGGCGAGAAGCCGTTCCTGTGCAGCCAATGCCCGAGGCGCTTCCGCTCGATCAATCTGCTCGGCGTGCACAAGAAGGTGCACGAGAATCATCGGCCCTTCGGCTGCGCCTACTGCCCCAAGACGTTCCGCTCCAAGCAGAAGGTGCAGGTGCACGAGTCCGTACACACGGGCTACAAACCCTTCGAGTGCGACGTCTGCGGCAGCGCGTTCTCGTCCAAGGGCGAGTGCAAGAGGCACAGCATAAGCCATTCGAGCGAGCGACCTTTCGAGTGCAGCCTGTGCGACAAGTCGTTCAAGCTCAACAAGTACCTGAGAGGTCACTTGAGAAAGTGCCATCCCAAAGAAGCCCCTGATATCCTTTATCAGATGGATAATTAGCCTTTGTAATTTGGAACTACCAATTGTAAAACCTATATTGTATGCTTCGAGTCCAGCACTAACGCTTACGTTTTAGCTATTGTGCGCGCTTATTTTTGTGCCAGTTAATGTAGCCAGACATTTATTATTCAGTTTATTCTGTGTCATTTTCAAATATCAGTAATTTAGTTAGTTGCACTTGAATTTTGTCGTTGATGAAAAGGACAAGTTTTTGATCTGTGACTGCATGAAAAATTGATTGAAAAATTGTTTGTGATTTAGAAAGTAAGCCAGAGTCAAGTTTGTCAAAGTTGTCAACCAAATAATCATGCACACATAGAAATTTCAAAGTTTTGATAATGAAAGATTACATTTTTTCACGTGATATTTATAAGGAGATAATTCAATGAGTGATAGACACAGTATTTTCTCAAAAGATGTATTACTATAAACGAAAACTGTAGTTTTTTAAATGGATTTTATATCAATAAAATAATCTTTACCACGGAAAATAGAATTTTGATTTGTAGTAGTGTAGTTTGAAATATTGGACTAATTTTTTATAAAATAAGTGATGTACCAAGCACATGTGAATAATTCTAACAAATCCCTGAATTTCAGCACCAAGAAGAGACAACCTCGAGAACGAATTGTCAAGGAGTTCCGCAAAGTTTACGTGCCAGGTATGCCAGTGTTAAACGACGAACCCGAGCCACCCAAAAAGAAAAGACTCACAAAAAAAGCCACCGCCACTGACGCCAGCCTATCAAAGAAACGGAAAAAAACATTGGTCGGAAAAGCGTTGAAAAAATCAGAAAAAACGACCAATTCTAAGCAAACATCGAAAGAAACCGCGGCATCCTCCGCGGATAAAGACAAACCCACAGATGTCAATGACAACAAGGGAACAACGCCTAGCCAGGATTTGGACGATTCGTTCGAAGACTCAGTGTTTCCACCGAAAAAGAAGAGAGTAAATCGCACTTGTTCGGATTGCGGTAAAAAATTCCGACTCGAGGAGAGCTACCAGATGCATCTTCGAGTGCACCAGGGCTTGCTGCCGTATATCTGCAAGCAGTGTGGCAAGCAATTTAGCCAGAATGGAAGTCTCTACTATCACGAGAGACACGTCCACGGTGGCGTGAAAAATCATGTCTGCGAGATATGCAAACGCTGCTTCGCCATGAAGACCGCCCTGGAGGACCACAGGCGAATCCACACGGGTGAGCGGCCTTATTTCTGCGAGCACTGCGGCAAGTCCTTCAAAACGAAGGCGTCGCTCTACATACACCGCAAACTGCACACGGACGAGTTTCCTTTTAAATGCAGCTACTGTAATAAGGCCTTCCGATGGAAGCAGCAGATGGTCAGTCACGTGACGACGCACACTGGCGAAAAGAATCACATCTGCGAGATCTGTGGCAAAGGCTTTGGAGTGAAGAATGAGCTCACGCGGCACATACTAACTCATTCGACGGAAAAACCCTTCAAGTGTGAAACGTGTCATATCAGTTTTGGTCAGCAGAGATACTTGACTAATCACAACAGAACGAAGCATAAAATTACGCAGAACGAAAATGAAAGTTTAACTTTGCTAAGCTAGAATATAATGTAAAAGGGACATAATGTAAAAGGGATATTGTAAATGGTTATTGAAAAAATTACCCTGCACTGTCGACGTTCATTATACAAAATATTTTCACATTTCATGACGACTTCTACAAAGTAATGCATCATTGTTTTACCCGTTCTTTCGCTCCGTGTAAATTTAAATGAATGTAAAAAACAAAATCAGTCTCTTATGGTAAGAGTTGAGATAGTAATTTTAATGTAAAAAAATGTTGCTAATAATATGAATGAATATTTCGCATTTTCATAATTGAATTAAACTTTTTAATTGTAATCAGTACGTTATCAGTACGTATCATCATCTGTATAAATTCAAGATTAACTTATGTAAATATCAATTCACCTTAAAAATGAATTTTTAATAATAAATAATTTAAAAGTAACGAAAATTTCATTGACACGAGTAAAACTAGTACTCTACCTAAAAATGTTAAATACGTATTCATTTTATACTTTACAGTTTCAACATCTCAAATCATTGGGGTTATCACGGCCCTGAAAAGTAATAAACCAACGCCTCTGGGCGCGAGTAAAGAATTTTACGATTACGTATGATTTGGGAATTATTAAAGCCTGTCTTAAATTCGGGATTTCACACGCGTAAAAAAATTTGTAGTATATTAAGACTTACCTATTTTTGTTTATTCCAAAATATTTTGTTTTCATTGAAAGTCGAGTCAAAATTCGATGGACTAATCGAAAGTCGTTTTAAATCGATCAACTTTCAGGCCCATCGCTTTTCTTTTAGTACATTATTTTGCTTACTAAAAGAAGGTCAAGATCAATGATAGTTGGAGAATTAACAATGAGAGACTTATATTTCTCCGACAACTTAATTTCTTAATCAGTGATTGGGAAAGTAAACTTACGAATCTTCAAAGCATTTTTAACCCGAAGAAATTGATTGTCTTCTCTTGGACTCTGTACAAAATAGGTGCTGATGAAAAAATGATTATATAAATCAAAACAATTCATCAAGTTCGTGGTTGGCAGCGAAAGCAAACACAAGCCCGACTTTGATGAACATGGCCGATTATTATTGCATCGCACCAAAGTACTGCATCATGCGCCTAGGGCCATGGTTTACTACTGTAGCGTAGAAAAGATCGTCCATGAGCTTTTAATAAAATATTCGTCAGGTAAGGTTCGATGTAAATTACATCAATGAAGGCTCAGGTCTCCCGCATTTCCACGTAGCCTGCATGTCTGGCCATGAAGACATTGTTGAGAAATTTTTCAAGCTCGGCCAGGATTCTAATTGTCTCTGTCAATGAATAGAGGGATCATCGTTACACTTAGTACTGAAATACGCGAATGGACATTCGAACAGGACAGGGAATGGAATTCGGACAGTCCGAATTGCTACTGAGAAAAGTTGCAGATCTGACTTCGGGCATCGAGAAATGATTTACTCCTTTCTATCTGATTTGTCAGGGAGACTTCAAGGATGATTCGGCGAAGATATTTTTGGGATCCATCACGAAAAACATTAGTTGCTGCACCCTACAGACAAGTTGGGTAATTCAAACTTGACTAATCATAATCGAATAAAGCTCAAAAGTACTCTAAGTATAAATGAAAGTTAAACTTTGCTAAGCTGGAATATAATGTATCAGGAATAATGTAAATGATTGTTGAAAAAATTACCCTTTACTATTGGCTTTTATTATAAAAAACAGTTTCACAATACATTTCATGACTTCTTTAACAAAGTAATGCATCATTCTTTTCTTCCCACCATTACAGTAGTTCTATAGCGCTGAACAATTTTTCGTAGTATATTGCAAAGGAAATCTATGACTAATCAAATTTTTGTTACATATTTATTACTACCACATTTCAGATTAAAGTATATAAAAATACTTTCAACTATCATCAAAAATGTTGTTTGTTGTTTACTTCTTACTCGATTCTTATCATTAAAATTTTAAACAGGGTATTGAAGCCAGAAAGCAAAATAAATAACATTTTTTGTAATTTAACTGAATAATTTACCCAAAAATTGGAACAAAAAACAGCAAACTCTTTTATAAAATTTTTAAAGATAAATACTAGGTAGAAATATTTGAAATTTGTTTTAAAATGATATTTTTTAATTTTGTACACTATTCCATAACATTAAATTTATAGAGTATACACAAACACGAATTTTAAAGTTTTTACTTTTACCGATATACTACTTACTAAACATATTAGATTTGTCATAAATATTAAAATCAAATATTTCTTTCTTAATTCTTTCAAAAAGAATTATGAAATATTGCTTATTGAGAAATGTAAAGTACTACATTTTTGAGCAAAAGTAATAAATGTATGAGTTATTCCAACATGTTTAGTTGAATGTATGAGTTTTTTTAAAAGCAAATAAGAAGGAACGTTTACAAACACTCATTGTGGTTTAGTATAAATTGTTAGCTTTATCAAAGTGTACACTTTCCAATGTTCTTGACAGCTCATTAGTTAATTCATCATCTTTGTTTTTTAACTTTTGGAGAGCATTTGCATAGCTAAATGATGGCTTAGGTTTAGGTACAGTGCCTATATAAGGGACGGTCTTACCTGAAGATGCAGATCTATTTAATGGGCTTTCAGAACCTTTTTCATAAGATTTATCAACAGATTTCCATGCTGATGTTGACACAGAAGCTTTGGATGATACAGAAGTACTTGGTGAAGTTGGTGGATTTGAAGATCTCCATGCTGATGTTTTTGCAGGAGTTTTGAATGATTCTGCAATTACTTTTTGATTTGATTTGTCAACAGATTTCCAAGCTGATGTTGATGGCGGAGATTTGGATGACGCAGCAGTATCTGAAGTTGGTGCATCAGAAGTTTTCCACGCTGATGTTTGATCAGAAGTTTTGGAGGATTCTGCAGTTACTTTTTGATTAAATGTGTCAACAGATTTCCACGCTGATGTTCGCACAGGTTCTTTGGGTAATACAGAAGCTTTTGGAGGAGTTGGGGTATTACAAGATTTCCATGATGATGATGATGGTGGTGATTGAAGAGTTGGTGGTGATTGTACCGATTCAGTTTTTTGCCTAATTTTATTAGGCTTACGCAGTGGTACATACTCTTCATCATCTGCTTCAGAAAGTACTGATTGAAAACTTGCAGATTTGTTCGCATGATTATTCAGGGGCTGAAAAAAATTATTTTATTTAATTTTCAAGCTCATTGTTATTTTAGCATTATATTAGCTCTTTCTAGATTTTACCTTCCAAGTGTTTCCTCTATTTTCAATATTTTGATGTCTACCTCTTTCATTTCTTCTAAAATTTTTTCGCTCAGCAGGAGCTAATCCAGTAGGCTGAATAAACACTGGACGATCAGCAATATTTTTTAAAGGTTGATAAGAAGCAACATCACCTTCAGCATCCCAATCTTCTTCGCTATGATATTGCACCAAAGGTCTTGTAGGAACTGGAAGTAAGTTGAGTTCAAAATCCTGATCTGTGCTTTGAAAATGCAATACAGACTCCCGCGATTCGCATGCCGTTAGGTGGTACTAAAATAAAATTGAAATTAATCAAACTCATTGTGCAAAGTATGACAAGAAACTGTATTGTATTGCAACTCACTTCGAATTCAAGTACATTAATTATGTGATTAGCGTCGTATGGACACTGTTTCTTGTCACCACTGTTGTGTTGGGTGCGGCACTTGGTTAAATGAAATTGAAAGCGCGATTTTAGAGCACGATGTGCTACATTATAAGGACAAGTAACCCACGTGTCGTCATTCATTTTCTGAAAATTTAAATAATATATATATTTTTAAAAATCGAATCGATCTAATTCTTAATATATTATTCTTTTAAAATAATAATGAAAATAACAAATGGCGAATTGCGTGTGAAGAGCGCGATTAGACAATCATAAACAAAAGTGACCTTGCTCACTTGGGCATAGCCACGTACGCCTATTTTGCAAATTATGAATATTTCATGTTACGACCGTTGTTCACAAAACTTACCTAAAGTGATTTGACTGACTTAAAAATGTAAGTGAGATAAAATTATCACCTCGTTTTAACAACTTTGATACTCAGAAAATGACGTTTCAGATGAGCAGTTTCGGGAATCTTAGTCAATTTTATGAACGGCGATCACCTATCGAATTTGATAAACTCAAACTACGCATTCGAAATTTCGAACGCGGGCTCAAGTTCGCAAAAAATAGTAGTCTTTACCTTTCACAGTTGACTGAAGTTGGACTTCAATAGGATCGATTAGAAAATGTTGAGTCTAAACGTTTCACGACTCTTTCTTCCTTTGATCAAAAAGGTACCGTGGAGATAACGACTTCTTCGTCTGCTAATACATTAGCTGTGCCAACCAGTGGCAACTGACTCTCAACAAGACTTGCTACGTACTGTGAGTGCCGAATGTCCAAGAGTACGAGCCTGCAGGCGTCAAGCCATTGTCTTGCCGGCAATCCCGCGCATTTTGTAATACGAGCAAAAATCTCCATGGAAGTGGGAGAGACGGTTAGGCGCATTACTGGTCGAATTTCGTTTCTAGTGTATAGCGATTCGATGATTGGCAGAATCGCGAGTTGATAATCGTTAAATTTATTGTTTTACGTACTGGTTATCAGTAGAATGGTTGTAAATATTTAGGAAACAATTCTTAATAATAAGTATAGTACAAAATTCGTCGGTACGACCGTTAATTTAGCATGAAAATTTTGTCGATTTGATGCTGCGCGGGCTAGAGAACAAGATGGCCGCTTGGCGCCAAGGCACACAAAAGCCAGTAAGTAGATTACGTTTATTCAATATATCATACAAAATAGCCATTATTATTTTCAATTATCATTACCCAATGATAAAAATAATCATGCGTTAACGACATTGGATTTGATATGCGTTCGATGAAATTTTACGATCCGCAACGAATTGCATTGCAACCGTCATTATAGACTTTTTCCATCGAAGGATCAAACTCGGTGTATTTTTACATCCTCGTTAAATTGATAGAAATTTCGCAAAAGATAAAGTTTGTTGTGTTTATAAGTCTTATATCTCGCAATTCTCGAATATCAGTGGATAGATTCTTCTGTGGATACTGTGCATCAAAAAAACGTTGGGTTAAATTTCGTATTCGACTGTCCGATATGTTCAAACGCGAATTGCAGAATTACGGTTGCATGAGCTGCATTACTTTCTAAATCTGTGCAATTCATATCCTTATTACTTAACGAACGTCGGTTAAAGCGATTTTTCGTATAAAATAAAATAATGCAAGGGGTTTAACTGCGCGTTACATCACTTTTTGCCGCATAGCATTTAAGTGAACATCTTGGCGCTAAGTGGAATTTACGGCGATGCAGCCGGTCAATTGCACCAAGTCTGAAGGTAATTGTATTTTGCAGTAACTCAAAAATTTACTGTTATTATTTTGGAAAATGTATTTCATGTAAATTTTGATTTTTATTTTGCACCTGTAAAGTTATAATACATGTCAATATTTATTCCAAGCCTGTTGAGTAAATTGAAGTAAATACTCTTAGTTTGTATGAGTGAATTTTGATTTCAACCAGATTTTGTGATCTTAATTTTACATGAAATTTGTTTTGGTATGCAAACAAGGTAATTTATTAAAACTCTGTTGAACATAATTATATGAGTGTTCCCAATTCGTCTTAAAAAAAGTTAATTGTTCCAAGATTCAACAGATTTAACTCTGCAGGCTATTACGATTCTATCACTTATGAATTAATTGAAAGCACTTTTTCATCGAAGAACTCAAAACTTACATTTGTACACTGTACTAAATGAATTCAGACCCATTTGTCCATAGTAGTAACAAAAATAGTTGAACTAATTGATATATAAAACCAAGTTTAATTTAAATTACAGGGTTTAAATGCCATGAAAATTTATTTTTACCAAATGTAAGAATAGGCAAATTTTTCTATGGCATTTTGAAATCATTTTTATAATAATGTTGAATAAAGTACCTGACTGTTTTGTTTACTTTTGCCTGTCATCAAATTTAATCAGAAGAGTCTTCAATAGATCTATATAATTGTATCATCCTATAGTCAATCTAACCCAAAATCGTATTAATTTTGATTTATTTATTGAATCATTATTTAATTTGTGCTTTCATAGGTTGAAAATAACAATATCTACATTGTGAATGTGTTTTGAGTTATGAGAAACAAATAAGTCTTTGTTGAAACAAAAAATTTATTTTGTATCTGTTGTAAAATTTAGAGCATTACAGCATTTCAATTCAAAGAGAAACGGACATGAGAAATATGCTTAAATTTATCAACGCTACTCGGTACACTGTAACGAGTGCATTCTTATTTGCCATAGCTTCTAGTGCATTTTTACTTTTATCATATCATATTTTTTAAGATCTCATACTCTATGCATACATTAAGAGCTGTTTTTCTTGTGTCAAACAACATTTTTAACTGGAGGTCTTGGCCATGGATAGATACTAAAGAGTACTGTTCATTGTATTTGACAAATATATGTCCTTGATTTTTTACAATCATTCATACAGAGAGCAAAAGCTTGCTTTTTTTTTAATTTCTTTATCTATAATGTAATCATGATTAGAGTCATAAAATAATCCTATATTTTTGAAAAATCTGATGTATTTAATCATTTTTTATTTTTATTATGAAGTAACGAAGAACCTGCCCAAACTTTAACAAACTCATTATTAATCATGATGATCCTTCTTTTTTCTTCTAATTTATATTCTCAAATAATTTTATTCAATTTTTAACGTTACCAGAAGACATTAGAAATTTGTAACAAATTATAACTGTTATTTCTTATAACAAAGAAACAAAAAACTTTTTTACTTAATATTTCATGTACTGATGTATGATTCAAAATACTCTACATTGCGGAATCAAAAAGACTTCAAAACTTTTTTTTTTAATTCAAATGCTAAATTAGCATTTTCATAATTGACAAACAAATGAATCAGTCAATTCATTCAACAACTTCATTATGTTTTTATTCTGAGATCATTTTTAGTGTATGCTTTTCAAACTGGCCTATTACATTAGATATTTACACCTGTTAATTTTAACAATTATATAATTTTTTCCATTTATCCACACATTTTGATGATTAAAATAAAAAAAAAGAGATAATTTAAAAATAAAACTCGAATGCATTTGGTTCTCGCAAATTTTCGATTATCATTTGCGGAACTAGGCCTTAAATACGTGTGCACAAAAAATGATAGAAAAAGCTTATAAAAATAATTCGCGTAAACGAGTTACAGCCATAATATCTATAAATATAAAATGAACCAAATGCTTTAGATGTGTCTTTGCTTTCGTATATTGACCAAATCAAATTGATTGGGAATCATGATGTCAACTTTGATTACAGCCGATCATATAAAAAAACACATTTCACATTTTCAATTGCAAAGTTTCTATACATTATCAATCATACTCTATTCACATATGATAGCAGTCTTTCGATTACTATTCAACACTAAAGATATAAGATTTGAAAAACACCGTTACTCACACGTATGAACATTTTCGATATAAGAAAGTGGAGTTGACTACGTCAAGTACGTTGTCAACCGATTTTATGAATGTACATAGTCAGTCGTCAAAGATATATTGTATATAAGTCGTTATGGTGCTGTTTAAGTGCCTGAGCTCTGACTCAAAACGTTACAACAATACCTCCTCTAACTCGTCAGACTCATATTTTTGACATTTAATGACCCTATATAGGCACGAACATGGCTTTATAGTCTGCAGTATGTATGTCTGTTGTTTTGTTTCAGAGCTCGTGCAGCCACCGTATCGCAATTCGACAACTTTTTGATTTACATTCTAAAAGCTCTCTTACTTGTAAAATGTCGATAATTGTTACACTCAGTTTTCATGCGTATAAAATACATTTCTCGAAAAAGTATTTTTTACAACTCACAACTTGGCTCGATCGGCTCAATGGAGCAAGAAAGGTGGTTCCATTATCGAAAAGATCGCGGCATACATAAGAACTACAGTGAGCGCAAATCAAGTGCTGACCTGCACTCGGCAAAGACTAAAAAGTTTTCCTCTCGCGTTTCGTTGAAGCTATAAAACGTTTTAATTACGAGGCGAAGCATACCACTTAAAAGAAGCAAATTGATATTCTCAAAAGCAAATGGCCATCGCGACGCTTCGCTCGCTTGATGACTCGGCTCAGATTTCTCACGACGAAGGAAAATATTCTCGCGTCAGTGCGTTCATATATGCTGTGCGCCATCGTGTTTTTGTTTTTTCCGAAAAGTATTTTGAAAATAGTCCCTTGTATACTCCGTCTGAGCGCAAATGTAGTATATAACACGGCTAGCAAAGTTTTAGACGCGCTCGCGACAAAGCTCACGCTCGGAAAATATACAAAGCAATTAATTTCTCCTCGCATTATTTGTATCAAGTTGACGATTGAGTGTGTTTGCGACGCACTCGCGGGGGAGACGTCGGTCGAGAAAGGAGGAAAGAAATTATACATTCGCGCGTACGAGGCTCGAGCTCTCTTTCATACGCGCTTGGCTGTAATACCCCACGCGATACGACTGCATGAAATATCGCCGTCTTTTCTCGACTGTTGTATAAACGCAGTTTCAAAGTCTTAACAACAATATTTTCGCATAGCATGAGAAATTCGATGAAATATTTACATTGAACCAAGCTGTTTTACTATTATTTTATATCTTCGACGGTTTTCCGGATTTTCCAACGCTCTTAATAAAAACTAGCTTCGTTTACAACATTTTCAATTGAGTTGTTTTACATGTAACTTTACATTTGCAATTGGAAACATAGATTTTTTACCTAATCAATCATACCTTGTAACAATCGCACCTTAAAAATGACACTATGTAATAGTGGTCCGCAAATTTACACTGTAGAAATGATTGACATTCGACGCATCCGCGTGTATTTCCAACTGCAGCAGAAAATAATACTGTATTATATTCGATTATCTCGTGTCGCAGCCAGTGAAATATCGATCGCTCGACAAGTTGAATGTCGTGGCAAAAGTTCATCCCTAAATTCGGATGATCATTCATCTTACGCGCACCTTTATTTATATTTATAATATTTTTTTATATATAAATTCACTTTACACAAATATTTTCTTGGTTGAACGACGGCTTTCATTATATTTTAAAGGAACCGTCGTTTACGCTATATATAGTCAATAAAATCAGCGGCACTAATAAGCTTGCACGGACATTTAAAAACATTACATGTATATAATTTATAGTATGCAATTTTTCTTGGAATTGGAGTATTTTCTTTTAGCTTGTGCATTAATACTTTTATCGTGCTCGTTATTTTTTCATCATTTGAGAAAATGATGTTTTGAATGTAAGTGATAAATTCTATTTTGTTACTTCCATTTCAACGATTAAAAGTTTTAGAACTGAGTTGATTGATTTTTTGTACGAAAAAAATTCATTTTGATAAGATTCGCTACTCGATATTTAATATTTCCAGTTAACTATACGAACGAACTATGGAATGTTTCAAAATTGAATTGAAAAATTTTTATTGAAAAAAAGTAATAACAATAATAATAATAATGATAAAAATTTAAATCTTTTAGATTGTGTATCGACGTCAATTGGCGTAACAGATAAAATTTATAAGTCTTCACGGATTTCGAATTCGATCGGTCAAAATTTCGACACACGCGTTGTGTTGTTTCTAGAGCCATTTTTCGCGATTCCGTCGCTAGTGTGCGTGTGTTTGTGCGTATAAGTGTGCATCATGGTCTTCTTCTCTTCTCATATTTCCTTTCCGTGTTGCACGTCGGGGTCGACGGAGGCCTCTACGTCGCGTCGCCGAGACTTCCGTCGCTTGGCCCCATTCTCGCTACTGCCGATTCTTCTTGCCGCTGCGAAAATATATCCAGTGCACTCTTGGGTGCGTGTTGTATCCATGCATGCAGACACTTTGCGCCGAACGGAGTCGTCGTCGTCGTCGTCGTCGTCGTCGTCACAAGACTACGATGATGCTAGTGTAGCCGCACCGATGCCAAGAGTTTATTTTCGACCAACATCAGTAGCCGTGCAGAACGAATGCAAACTTCTCTTTTGCCTTTTCTTTTCATCTTTTTTTCCTCTTTTCTTTTTTTGCCATCTTTCTTTCATCTTCGTATATGCGAGAACGTGCGCCGTGTGTGACTGAACTGAAAAAATGAAAGTGTTTCAAATTAATGAAAATTCTCTTGAAATTATGATTATCAGAACATTAATTGCAAAAATGTTGTTCGAATGGATCACGTGGTTTGTCGAATCGAACAAATTTCCTCGTTTCTACAGTTTAAATAGATTTTTGCGTGGGCTGTATGCTTTTTGGAAGTGATAAAATGTGTAACTCGTAAATAAAGTGCTTGTTCCGACCCATTTAAATGTTGAAAAATGTTTCTCTTTGACAAATGCGACTAGATAAAAGCTTGCTTTTTCTTAATTTCCAAGCAGCCCGCTAAAATTCTATGTTCGCTTATTCTTTTGCTTTTTTGAAGGTTGAAAATTATTTTCACAAATTATTCTTTACAACCGAGAATATGCTATGGCCTAGCATTAAAAAAATTCATTTCTAACATACGCATGCATATGCACAGTAGTTCTCTTTCAAATCGTTTCTCCGTGAGCTTTTATATATCAGCGCGTACTGGCACACAGCAACTGCAGCGCAGCAACAGCGTTTCTATAGGAATACAACATTTTCGCCCGTGTACATTTTTCCCGCGCGCATTTTTACCCAGGTGGCACTTCAAAATTACCAACAACTTTCATCATTAATGCCTTGCTTACACCCCCAGTACAACCACAGAAAAAAAAGAGAGAGAAAGAGAAACGCGAGCGAGCTGTTACGTAAGCCAAAAAGCCCAGCCGTGTCTGTATTTCATCAAAACGAACGGGCGAAAAAGTTACTGTGCTCATTGCTGTTTTGTAGCATAACTCGTGTATATAGCACACGCAAGCGTTGGACTATTTCACAGTGAGCATGAGAGGCGCCGAGAAAGATAGAGAGAGGGAGAGAAAGAGAGAAAGCAACAAGGAAGAGCTCGACGAAAAAAAACTCAAAGGAATGACCAGTGGCTATGTTACATAGAAGCCAATTGTTATCTCTTCTGAATATCTTATATTTACCCTACTTCGCTAGAAATATTTTGAGTGCTGCACAGTAAACATTTTACGTTTTTCTCATCTTTCTAATTGGCCCAAAAACTCATCACTCACTCGTTAGCCAATGGTCATGACGATGAGACATTATTAAGATAAGGACTTGCTGGACCCTTGTCTATTAGGAATATTTTAATTATTATTTTCCCGAGCCATTCTTTCAATATTCATGATGAATCTGAACATTGAAGCTCGTACCACGAACATTTACGTTGTAAAAAAACACCTAAATGCTCGATGCGAGCTTTGTAATTGCCCAGTGGATATATTTAGGTTACGCCGGAACACTCATGTATACGAATGCGAAAATTTAAGTTAATATACCCGTTAAATTCCCACAGCGGTAAAAATACAGATTGCCGGCAGTGGCGCCGGTATAGGTGCTGGCTCGCGTGTAATGTTAATCTTTTGATGCATTAGGGCTGCATTGTTGTACAAGAGAGAGAGAGAGAGAGAGAAAGAGAGAAAGAGAGAAAGAGAGAAAGAGAGAGAGAGAGAGAGAGAGAGAGAGAGAGAGAGAGAGAGAGAGAGAGAGAGAGAGAGAGAAGGAGAGAGAGAAAGGGAGAAAGCCGCGTCAGTACCCGCATGGTTTTTATTCGTTATTCATACATACGTACCTCGTGAACTGTTACACAGTATTTAAGTTCGCTTGCTTGCTGGCAATCTCAATTTCATTATGCCATGACTGACATTTTTATTTTAAGTACAAACATGTATTTTCGAACTTAGAAAAGTTAATTTTTTAACGCAAGAACGATTTGAATTGAAGATAGATTATTCAATTACATTAATTTGAACTTGAAATTCCACCACTAAAACAACTTCAAAAGATACATTATGTCGCTTGATATTTCCATTTTTTGTTATTGAAAAATATGTGCTGTAGTCTTTTATTAGCGCAACTTTTTATAGATTCATGGCTTCGTGTAAATCGTTAAATGACGACAAGTATTATAACTTATAAAATACCTTGTAACAAGCTTGACTTGAAGAAGTTACATCGGTTATGGAACATTCGTTATAAAAAAAAATCAATTATGCTGATGTGTAAATTTTCGGTGTTTTTTTCTCTTGTTTGTACGGCCTACACGCGTAAGTTACCTAGTCTAGCGATAGTGAGTATGTTAAATTAGAAAAAAATTATATTTTTTAATTATTCTTGAAGATAAAAGGAGAATTCATAATGGCACAGCAGCTGAAAAAGGAGCATATCCCTATCAAGTTTGTTTGAGAAATTCAGATTCCAAAATTCCATTTTGTGGAGGTTCAATTATTAATGAATTTTACGTACTAACTGCTGGGCATTGTGTAGAGTAAATTACTTTAGTCCAATCACACAATTTGATAAAAATATTGAGTAGCTATTTTATAGTTGTATTTTTATTATAGAGATATAGTTATAGTTAACTTACCACCTCGCATCGTCGAAGTAGTGGTTGGAGCTACTAATTTTAATGACTCGACGGCACGATATTACCCAGCTCAGAAATTCATACTTCACGAAAATTATGAAGTAATATGAAGAAATAATTTTTATTTTGTAAAAAAAATTTTCATCATTTATAATTTTAGCATTTTTTTTCTCCTCACATTTACGCTGTAAACGACATCGCTCTGATTCAAATTGATGGACCGATTGAATTCACCCCCTTTATTTCACCTATTAAATTACCCAGTCCTGGTTATCGAGTTGAAGGAAAGACACAAGTGATTATTACAGGCTGGGGAAGATTTTCAGACCATGACATGAATATTCCAGCTACATTACAAGCTGTTAATTTAACTGTAGTAGATTTAAAAACCTGTAAGGCAAAATGGTCGGACAGAGCTATCAATATCGATGATCGTATGATTTGTGTAGCTGGCTCCGTTCAAGAGTACGGGCAAACTCAACACGATGCAGGGTGTTGCCTCGTTAGTTGAATTTGCAACATCTAAATCTGTGGATCAAAAAAGGCGAGAAGTTAATTTTCAAAACTAATTTAAATTTATGTTTCACAGGGTGATTCTGGTGGTCCCGCTGTAGAAGGTCACGTATTAATTGGGGTTATAAGTTCAGCCAATTCTTGCATCGATTCTTACCGCTATCCACATATACTAATGAATGTTTCCCACTATCTCCCGTGGATACAAGGAAGGTTAACAAAAAAAAAATCAGTTTGGCAGCAAACCAGAAATTTCTTCAAAGACCTACTTTTCCACGACTGAAAAAGTTCCATGTATAAATCGAATTAAAAATGAATAATTTTAGTAAAACAAATGTTGAGTCGTATTAAATACCCAACGAACAAAATTAATCACAGTAGATGAGCTAGCCTTAAAAGGGGATGTATTTCTCTTTAACTTGTAGCTTATTTTTTAGTTTGAATGTAATTTTGAAGAACATTTTTCCTACAAATTATCTCTAATGGATTTCTCATAAGAGTCGATTAAAATGGTTATCTTTTCTAGCTAAGAAAATTTTGGAATTATACGTTTTTTTCTTATTTTCAATTTTTTTGGTATTAAGAATTTTTTAGGCATTTAATCATAATGCAGTATACATTGAATCTGTAATTTGATGTAAATATTCATCAGACATTTTTATTACTGTCAAGAATTGGTGATATTTTCTCGAATTATGATCGATGACAACAAAATTTACGCACCTTAATTTTTCCAAATATTTAATATTATCTGAATCTCCGGCGACACTGCTATATCAAGTTACATATATTATTAGTTCTTAATATATTTATCTAGATTTGTAACCATTTCTGATTCTTCCTGACATCTTCAGAGTTAGGTACTTTTATTTGCCCCATCAAATTTTGTAAGTTTATTCTATTGGGTTAGACTAATCGTGGGAATATTTTTATGCAATATTGTCATTTTCGTTTACAAAACTCCAAATAATTCTAGATATTTCTAAGAAATCAATTTTTTTAGTGCATAAAACTCCAAATAACCCTCAAACTCGCACCCCAATTTTTTTTTTGTTGATAAAAATGTTGTATCGTGTCATGTCGGATCACAGTGCTTATAAACTGCCCACGGTTAAACGATAACCACTCTGATTTGTATAAATTCTAGATAAATTATTCAATTATACTCATTTGAATTACATTCTACCAAAAAATTTCATTAGTTCAATCGCTTATCTAATATTTCACTTCTGACTCATCGCAATGTTTGTTCTGACGTCGTTTACTACTCGAATGTTTTGTGGATTTATGACATCGTGTGAATCGCTAAACGATATGAATCATTATGAATCGTGAAATACTTCTTAAGAAGCTTGACTTGAAAAAATTGGATAGCACGCGGAATATTCGTTGTGTCGAATAGTATAAGTTATGCTGACATTCAGATTTTCAGTTTTTTTCACTCTTGTTTGTTCTGCCTACTCGCGTAAGTTACCTAGACTAGCGATAATGAGTATGTTAAATTAAAAAAAATTATATTTTTTAATTATTTTTAAAGGTAAGGTGAGAATTCATAATGGCACGGCAGCCGCCAAAGGAGAGTATCCCTATCATGTTGAATTGAGAGGTTCTATTAACAAAAACCCAATATGTGGAGGTTCCATAATAAATCATTTTTACGTACTCACGGCTGGACATTGTGTAGAGTAAATTACCTGAGTCTAATCATAAAGTTTGTTAAAAATTATAAGTAGCTGTTTTATAGTGGTATTATTATTATAGAAATATAATATTGTTTCCACCAAACCTATTTGAAGTGATGGTTGGAGCATCTCGACGTAATGACTTGACTGTGCATTTTTATCCGGTTGCGAAGTTTATTATACACAACAATTTTATAGTAATTCGGAGTCTTTTTTGTTCATCAAGTTTTTTCAATTTGTTTTTTAAAGTTTACTTTTCTAGCACTACGTAGTACCTTTTGAGTACTGCATAAATGACGTTGCTTTAATTCATGTCGATGGGCCAATCAAATTCACTCCTTTCATTTCACCTGTTCAACTACCAACTCTAGGTTACTACGTAAAAAAAAAGAGCCAAGTTACCGCCACGGGTTGGGGTAGATTATCAGAAAATCGTACTCTTCCTTCATATTATTTACGCGCTGTTAATTTAACAGTAGTGGACAAAAAAATTTGCAAAGCAAGATGGACGGACATAGTTATTAATATCGATGATCGTATGGTTTGTGTAGCTGGATCCGTGAAAGAGTATGGACAAGCTCAAATTGATGCAGGGGTTTGCCACGTTCGTTGAAAAGTTTTTAAAACAAAAGCGAGAAGTAAACTTTCAAGACTAATTTAATTTTACGTTTTACAGGGTGATTCTGGTGGTCCCGTAGTCCAAAAAAATATATTAATTGGTATTATCAGCGCAGGCAATTCTTGTTCAGATTCGTTCCGCTATCCACATATCCTAATGAATGTTTCTCATTATGTCCCGTGGATAAAAAAGCACTCAAAAGTTTCGATTTGGCAGAGGACGAAAGACTTTTTCAACAACTTATTCTATTCTCGACTATAGAAAGTTTTGAATTCAATTAAAATCCTGTATCTTGAGTTAAATATAATTGTTCCGAAAGGTGCGATTACTCTATCGATGTATACATGTATTGCTTCAAGAGTTTCATAACCAATTGAACCTAAATATAATGGCAAAATTGCAAAAGCTTGTAGTGCTTACAGACATGCAGCTCTCTTTTCCATTCTCCAAAGACTCGACGAAAATAAAAAAAACAGGAATTTTTTCACTCATGCAGACCCACGTGCGAGCGCCATAAAGTAATGCCCTCTATTTTTCCTCAATATTGCGCGTACGTTAAGCGAGTGCCCGCAAGCCGCCGCACGCTCCATTTCCTCACTACGAGTGCACCATTGGCCACTGGGCGCGCGATAACGTAGTAAGCGTCCGACCTCTAATACATTTGGCCCGGCATTAATGGAATCGTATGCTTTGCAATCGTTCCTACATATGGCTGTGCAGGAGGTATGTAAGATCTTTGCACCGTTAACGAGATGGAAATTGCTACTTTATTCTCCTTGTACTTTCGAAAAAATCCTCCCATGTATTCTTGGCTCTTTCAAAGTCACGAGCAGTACAACTTGACTTCTCAATGGCTACTATTATTTCTTTCTTTCTGCCTTTTGCTGATTTTATTTCCATGCCCTGTATTCTGCACTCATCGTCCCCAATTGTCGGAGCAGAGCGAGTCTGAGCGCGCGAGTGTGTGCGTAAGTACGCAGAACACATGGAATATAATATGCGGTTTTGTGCAGTTCGTGCACGTGCAAAACAAGCTCCGACGCGCGGCACGTTTCAAGTTTCATATAAATACAGGGAGCTGCAGAAAACGAGCTTTTCGATTATTCACGACTGTTTAGAGGAAACGATAAGAGCTTACTGTGGGGCTTGTACAATTGTCATTCAATGTTTACGTTTACGTATTGACCTTCAAATTCGGCGTATAAGGTCACCTTTTAGTGTTAATGTTATAACAATTTTCGTAAGTTTTATACCCATATATTTGGAGTGTAAATGTGCAAAATCTAAAGAGGGAGAGTAACAAGTAGCAAGAATATTTAAGATGATAACGTATTTTGGTCATAGAGAAAAAAATGCATCAGCTTCCCATTCGCACACTCGATAACTCTCTTTTACTGCCATTGCACTTATTTCGTCTATGTACGCATGTTCACTGCTTATGGTTGTGTACATGTATATAAATGCACGCAGCAGAAGCAGCATCAGCTTCTTGGCAAAAAGTGGCGCCGTTCCGTCAAACTACATAACAGAGAACGTGTACCAGTGCGGCTTCCCGCCACGCGTACAGTTATTCTCGGTTATGAGAAAACCACTCGTCTTTTTATATACACTTATTGCCATTCCGTCGGATACACTTCCACTTTCTCTCTTTCTTTCTTTGCTTTTTTACTTTTTCTTTCGCGGACTGTTTTTCTCTTCTTTCGGTTTTCCGGCCTCCGAGTTTTGCACGTCGAAGTTTACTGTCCGTCGTGGTCTATGTGCTGCGTGTAAAATGTACTTTGGTTCCGATTTTTACTCCTTACAAGCACTGCGACGTCGCACTGCTGTTCTTCTCTCGAGTTTTCCCTCAGCAAAAAACTCATACAAATTTGCGCGCACACACGCACACACACCTGAGTTTGATTTGATTCTTTCTTATACACACGTTCGCTCCAGTACATATGCAGGGACTTGTAACAACTCGTTTGTTCATTTGTTATTGCTCCTACACTTTCTAACGGTGAAAACTTTAGAATTTCATTCGACTCGATAATGTCAACTTTTTTGTGTGGTTCGAGAAATGCGAGCGAAGGGGCTAAAGCGTCAATAGTCACACGGGCTGGTGATGGATTCGCACAAATATTTATCAGATTTACAAGTGGATTTTTGTAAAATTAAACTAAGTTTCATATTAAAATTTTTATTCAATGTTTTTGAAATAAAATGAAGCTATTTATAAATTAAGATATTGATATATATGGAATCGATTTTTTTATTAAATAATATAATTTTTAAATTACTGTAAAGTCCTGCGTGTGTATAGCGGCCAACAAAGTTAAAAGTATGCTGTCCGATATTTCTCGACGGCATTGACAAATTAAACCTGTGAGAAAACTCGTAAGGCCCGAGGGGACTTGAAGGTATGGGTAAAGAGAGACTAAGAGTGAGAGAAAAAAATAATTTATTGCAAAAACTGCTAGCAAGTGGCAAAATTTCTCTGCCGCAATCTTGTGACACTAAAACGAGGCAGTCGAAAGATAGAATAAAAGAGAAAGAGAGAAAAAGAAAGAGCACCTAAAAACCCGGTCTTTCTTTGGTAACTAAATAAAAGGACAAACATTGACTTTGATAAATACGTTAGTAATGTTTGTTTTTCAAAACGAACTCTTAATACTGTTCAAATTTTATAAAAACAAACGGATTGTTTTTATTTATAACTCGTGTGATTATTTGCATATGAAACAATGATGATAAAATTAAACTTTATGTTTTAAATATCAGATGTTAAAACCGTACAATTTTCAAGCTTATTTGAACGTAGCTTCAGTTATTACAACATAAAATTTAAACGACCTGACCTACTAAATAATCCTTGTTGCTGTAACATAAATGATATATGCTTAGCGAAGCTACGAAGCTGTACCATAGCAGCAAAAGAGAAAGAGAGGGAGAGAGAGTGAGAGACAAAGAGAAATTCAATGTGGAAAGCTGCAGATTAGGGCTCGAGCTTGCAGCAAGTATAGGTATATAAAGTATACGCAGTGTAGCTCGCGCGGCTGCTGTATTCGCGCGCTGCTCCTGGAATACCTGATTTTTTCGAAAAGTTTGTCCCTCGGGCAAAAGAGTAGTATGTGTGCGCGCGCACGCAAAGATATAACAGGGGTTTCAGCTTAGTAATTCTCAGAGCTTTTTTACCGTATAAATGTAAACCGTCCAGATTTGCAAACATACACGCGTGCGGGAAAAAAGACTTTCCTATGACTTTTTTAAATAAGCACATGAATCTTGCGGTTGGTGTGCGTGTGTGTGTGTGTGTGTGTGTGTGTGTGTGTGTGTGTGTGTGTGTGTGTGTGTGTGTGTGTGTGTGTGTGTTTGTGTGTGTTTGAGCAACTATGAATGTTGAACAATGATGTTGAACTGTTAGTTTTTTTCCACTGATTGAAGAAAGTTTTCGAGCTCGTTTTTGGAGTAATTGCACTTGTTCTGTGAATATTAATGATTTGGCTGCATTCTACGGTCGCTGGATTAAGGAAACGATATCCCAACAAAGTTTAATTTATAGTTTGAAGTTGACTGATTGCGCGTTATGAATATTTGAACTAATGACAGTTAATAGCAGTATTTAATCATTACAAACTTGCCGTCCGCAGTACGTTTTACGCTAGGGCAAATAGGCGAATATTAAACTTTGCCCTCTTGTGAATGTAAATAAAATATACATTTGTCACGTGCTCCATTCATTTCGAATTAGAGGATTGTCTAATACAATCAGAGGTGCAATTACATTCTATGATAGATATGAAAAAATGTCGACTCAAACGGCTTTGAAGCCGCGGTAGCTTGCCAATTTACCGAGTGAAGTGGGGGCGTGACAGGGATTTACGAAAAATTTCACGACTAAGCCGAATTTTCCTGATCTCTATAGGATTTTCGACCGAAACTTCGTGGCTATAATGCTTCACTATTTATTGTACACTTGCTACGTATAAAATGAGTTTTTATCAAAGTTCACTACATGTGTGTATAGAAGTTTTCCAAAATCAACGTATGTATGCCTGCGCGCGAGATAGCATTGGGTTGCGGCAATAGTAGAGTAACTTTTTAGGGTGCATCGCCCTTGTGCAGCAAGAAGCTGATTTCATTTAGAATGGAAAGAGACGCCGCCGCGTGCGCGTGTAAAGGTATATACACAAACATTCACATATGCTGTTTGCCGTAGAACTGCCTATAAAGCTTGAGAGTTATAGTTAACGCGGTTACGTATGACGCGAGAGCGAGCGAGCATCATCAACATTATACGCTACGGTGGTACACTGCTGTTATACCTTCGCTACCACTACGCAGAAAATTCGTAAGGTCTTATTGGGTTTGCAAAACTAGGAAATTTCATTGCACGCTCGCGAGTATATTATTTTATATATGAATGAAGACAGCCTCGAATTTACAAAATGATCTTTCTCGCGAGTTTAGGAGAATTGAATTTGATTGCTGGTCTGTCGGCGGTTGTTGGTCTTAGATTTTAAAACAACCATCATCCATTTGTGCGTTGCTTTTTTCCGTCAAATGTTTCGATATAATGATTTGTATTGCATATCGATATTTTTATTCGAAGTTTGGTCCTACCCTTTTTAAGTTTATTTATATTTGAATGGATAATAATTTTGTATGATTCGCTTGATTCCTAACTTTCATTGTTTCCTTCACCAGAGTTTACTTTACAACAGTCTGCAACTATAAGATCTATATGCAAATAAACGCCCGCGTTGATCTCTCTTAGCTCCCATAAAGCTTCCCACGCGCTTTTGTAGGATACATCGTGATATATGTCAATGGTCAGTTTGGGAAACACGCGAATAGTCTGGCAATAATTCACTTTCAGCTATGTGTTGCATGACTGATCTACGCTCATTGCTCATAAAGATGTGCCCCTCATAATACTCCCGCTCTTTAGCTTGATGTAATAATTCATAGGTGTTATATGTGCCACACTTAGTCTCTCTCTCTCTTTCTCAATTTTTGCTTTCCAACGTGTGTGGAATACTTGCTGAAGATTGCAAGTTTGCGCTAATAAAAGTATCTATGTAACGTAGGTATTAAAAAGATAAAATACAGGTGAATTTGTTCTAGAGGTTAAAAGGGTGCCACCGCCTCCATTGCTCCTAGTACATATAATATTCATAGAAGTTGCGCAAGGGGAATATCAAGCGCTTGATAGAAAAGGATTAGCTTTTTCTGTATTATAGACATCCGCACGTGAGCGCGTTGCGGGCGCAGCTGTGTGTACATGTTCATGTGTGAGTTACAGGCTGATGGGTCACGGATGAGATAACTTGAAATGCCTGCTTGCATAAGAT